ATGATGTTAAAAAAGTGCTGTTGATTTAGAAAATAGTCGAGATGATGTAGAAAATAGTGGGGATGATGTAGACAAAAGTAGGGATGATGTAGAAAGTAGTGCAAGTTTATTTGACAATACTGGGGGTGATTTTGAAAATAGTGGGTATGATGTAGAAAATAGTATGGATGATGTAGGAAAAAGTTGTTTTAAAAAAAGGAAATAATGTAGAAAAAATTGGTGATGATGTAGGAAATAGTGTGGATGAGCTAAAAAAAAAATGTGGTTGATATAGGAAAAAAGTTGGGATGATTTTGAAAAAAGTGTGTTTGATGTAGAAAATAGTGGGGATGATGTAAGAAAAAGTGTGGCTTATGTAGAAAATAGTGGGGATGATGTAAGAAAAAGTGTGGTTGATGTAGAAAATAGTGTGGAATGATGTAAGAAAAAGTGTGGCTTATGTAGAAAATAGTGGGGATGATGTAGAAAATAGTGTGGAATGATGTAAGAAAAAGTGTGGCTTATGTAGAAAATAGTGGGGATGATGTAAGAAAAAGTGTGGTTGATGTAGAAAATAGTGTGGAATGATGTAAGAAAAAGTGTGGCTTATGTAGAAAATAGTGTGGAATGATGTAAGAAAAAGTGTGGCTTATGTAGAAAATAGTGGGGATGATGTAGAAAATAGTGGGGATCAGCTAGAAAAATTTGTGGTTGATGTAGAAAAAATGGGAATCGATGTAGAAAATAGTGGGGAAGATGTAAAAAAAAAAGAAGGAAATTATGTAGAACAAAAGTGTGGATGATGTAGAAAAAAGTGTGGTTGATGTAGAAAATAGTGTGGATGATGTAGAAAATAGTGTGGATGATGTAGAAAACAATGGCGGTTATATAGAAAATAAAAAGGAGGAAATTATGTCGTAGAAAAAGTGTGGATGATGTAGTAAATAGTGTGGATCAGCGAGAAAAAAGTGTGGTTGAAGTAGGAAAAAAGTTTGGATAATTTTTTTTTAAAGTGTGGCTTATGTAGAAAATATGGGGATGATGTAGAAAATAGTGGGGATGATGTAGAAAATAGTGGGGATGATGTAGAAAATAGTGTGGATGATGTAGAAAATAGTGTGGATGATGTAGAAAACAATGGCGGTTATATAGAAAATAAAAAGGAGGAAATTATGTCGTAGAAAAAGTGTGGATGATGTAGTAAATAGTGTGGATCAGCGAGAAAAAAGTGTGGTTGAAGTAGGAAAAAAGTTTGGATAATTTTTTTTTAAAGTGTGGCTTATGTAGAAAATATGGGGATGATGTAGAAAATAGTGGGGATGATGTAGAAAATAGTGGGGATGATGTAGAAAAAAGTGTGGTTGATGTAGAAAAAAAAAATGGGGAAAATGTAGAAAAAAATGTGGTTGATGTAGAAAAAACTGTGGATGACGTAGGAACAAGTGTGGTAAATGTAGAAAAAAAGTGGGGATGATGTAAGAAAATGTGTGGCTTATATTGAAAAAAGTGTGGTTTATGTAGAAAATAGTTGGGATAAAGTTACGAAAAGTGTGTCTTATGTACAGAAAAGTTGTGTTGATGTTGAAAAAAGTGTGGTGGATATAGAAAAATGTTTTGATGATGCAGAAAAGGTTTGGATAATGTAGAAAAAGTGTGGTTGATGTAGGAAATAAGTTGGGATGATGTAGTAAAAAGTGTGGTTGATGTAAAAAATAGTTGGAATAATGTAAGAAAAAGTGTGGCTTCTGTAGAAAAAAAATAGGGATGATGTTAAAAAAGTGCTGTTGATTTAGAAAATAGTCGAGATGATGTAGAAAATAGTGGGGGTTATGTAGACAAAAGTAGGGATGATGTAGAAAATAGTGTGATTGATGTAGAAAATAGTTGCAATGGTGTGGAAAACATTGATGATGATATAAGAAAATGTGTGACTTATGAAGATAAAGTTTGGATAATGTAAAAAAAAGTTGGGATAAGGTAAGAAAAACTGTGGCTTATGTAGAAAAAAGTGGGGGATGATGTGTAAAATAGTGTGGCTTATGTACAACAAAGTGGAGATGATTCAGAAAAAAGTTTGGATGATGTACAGTTAGAAAATAGTGTGGGGATAATGTAGAAAATGGTGTAAGTGTATTTGACAATATTAAGGGTGATGTTCAAAATAGTGAGGATGACGAATGAAAAAGTGTTGTTGATTTAGAAAATAGTCGAGATGATGTAGAAAATAGTGGGGGTTATGTAGACAAAAGTAGGGATGATGTAGGAAAAAAGTGTGGTTGATGTAAAAAAAAATAAAGGAAATGATGTAGAAAAAAGTGTGGTTGATGTAGGAAAAAAGTTGGGATTATGTAGTAAAAAGTGTGGTAGATGTAGAAAATAGTGGGGATAATGAAGAAAATAGTGGGGATGATGTGGAAAATAGTAAGGATGATCTAGAATAAAATGTGGTTGATGTAGAAAATAGTTGGGATAATTTGGAAAAAAGTGTGGTTGAAGTAGAAAAAGTGGGGATGATGTAGAAAATTATGTGGTTGATGTAGGAAAAAAGTTTGGATGATGTAGAAAATAGTTGGGATAATGTAAAAAAAAGTCAGGATGATGAAAAAAGAAGTGTGGCTTATGCAAAAAAAAGGGGAGAAGATGTAAGTAAAAATAGTAGAGCGATGTAGAAAAAAGTAGGGGAAGATGCAGAAAAAAGTGTGGTTCATTTAGAAAAAATGGGGATTGATGTAGAAAATTGTTGGGATGATGTACAAAATAGTGGGGATGATGGAAGAAAAAGTGTGGCTTATGTAGAAAAGGTTTGGATAATGTATAAACAAGTGTGGTTGATGTAGAAAAAATGGGAATCGATGTAGAAAATAGTGGGGAAGATGTTAAAAAAAAAGGAAATTATGTAGTAAAAAAAGTGTGGATGATGTAGAAAATAGTGTGGATGAGCAAGAAAAAAGTGTGGTTGATGTAGGAAAAAAGTTGGGATGATGTAGAAAAAGTTTGGCTTGTGTAGAAAAAAGGGGATGATGTAGAAAATAGTGTGGATGATGTAGAAAATAGTGGGGATGATGTAAAAAAAAGTGGGGATGATGTAGAAAATAGTGGGGATGATGTAAAAAATAGTGGGGATGATGTAGAAAATAGTGGGAATGATGTAAAAAATAGTTGGGATGATGTACAAAAGAGTGGGGATGATGTAGAAAATAGTGGGGATGATGTAGAAAATAGTTGGGATGATGTAGAAAAAAGTGGGGATGATGTAAAAAATAGTGGGGATGATATAGAAAATAGTTTGGATGGTGTAGAAAATAGTGGGGATGATGTAGAAAATAGTGGGGATGATGTAGAAAATAGTGGGGATGATGTAGAAAATAGTGGGGATGATGTAGAAAATAGTGTAAATGATTTTGACAATACTGGGGGTGATGTTGAAAATAGTGCGAATGATGTAAAAAAAATACTAGGGATTATGTAGAAAATATAGTGGATGATGTAGAAATGAGTGTGGTTGATGCAGGAAAAAAGTTGGGATGATGTAGTAAAAAGTGTGGTAGAAGTAGAAAATAGTGGGAATAATGCAGAAAAAAGTGGGGATGATGTAGAAAATAGTGTTGATGATGTAAGAAAATGTGTGGCTTATGTAGAAAAAAGTGAGAATGATGTAGGAAAAAGTGTGGATGATCTAGAACAAAGTGGGGATGATGTAAATAAATTGTGGGGATGATGCAGAAAAAAGTGGGGATGATGTAGAAAGTAGTGCAAGTGATTTTGACAATACTGGGGGTGATTTTGAAAATAGTGGGGATGATATAGAAAACAGTATGGATAATGTAGGAAAAAGTGTTGTTGATGTATAAAATAGTGTGGATGATAAAGAAAAAGTGTGATTAATGTAGAAAATAGTTGGGATAATGTAAGAAAAGGTGTTGATGATGTAGGAAAAAAGTTTGAATGATGTTGAAAAAAGTGTGGTAGATGTAGAATACAGTGGGGATAATGTGGAAAACAGTGCAAGTGATGTTGACAATACATGTGCTGGGAGTTATGTTGAAAATAGTGGGAATGATGCAGAAAAAAGTGGGGGTGATGTACAGTTAGAAAATAGAGGCGATAATGTAGAAAATAGTGTAAGTGATGTTAAGAATACTGGGGGTGATGTGGAAAATAGTGTGGATGATTTAAAAAATAATGATGATGATGTAAGAAAAAGTGTGGCTTAAGTAGAAAAAAGTTTGGATAATAGGGAGCATTAGAAAATATCTATCTGTTGGTGTCACCAAAACTTTAATAACATCACTTATATTGTCAAGGATTGATTATTGC